CAGCAGTTAATGTTATTCTCACACTTATAATCTCTATGATTTCAGTTGAAGATAGCTCTCAACAGAGTATGTGGGATTAGATTTGGGCCACCTATATTTTTTCAGTATAATCCCCTATATTAAGCTCCATGACCTTGGTTATATCTGCAAAGCCCCTTTAGCCTTGTAACATAATACATTAGAACCTCCAAAGTTGACCCCTTCTCTACATTGACCACCTCTTTAAGTTGACCTAATTTTCATAGACCAGACATGCACCGTATGTATGTATTAGTACAACAGGCCTAGTTCCTTATGTTGACCACCTCTGTATGTTGACAGTTGTTATAGTCCCTGGTGTGGGCCACTTAGAGATTCTACAGTATATTTACAAGTTCCAGAGACTAGTTTCAGGGACTAGATACTGTCTACCATAGTAACTAATGTTAATACTCTTGATAATCGGTTCTACTAATTATAAAGTATTAATATATTGTGAATAATTATATAATAATTAAAACGATCATAAGTATAAAAACATTATCGCATATAGTTAGTGCTAGTCCTTGACTCCTCAAGATAATGTATAAAGAAAGTATAATGATAATGTTTACTAAGAGTAGGTAATTTAGAAATTAACAGAGCAGAAAATACTTATCTGTAAAAAAAAGGATAAATTAAAATGAGTTATTCCCCTAATGACAGTGTAATTGTGCAACATAATTTAATTTATTTTTAGACAGAGTCTTACTTTGTTGCACTCGGTAGAATGGTCTGGCTTCATAGTTGATAGCAACCTCACACTCCTGGGCTCAAGCAATCCTCTTGCCTTCGCCTCCTGAGTAGCTGGGACTACAGATGCCTGCCTCAACACCCAGCTAGTTTTAGAGACCAGGTCTCCCTGTAGCTCAGGCTGGTCTTAAAGTCTTGAGCTCAGGCAGTTCACCACCTTGGCCTCCCTTATAGGTGTGAGTCACCACACCTGGCCCCATAATTTATTTTTTTGAGATTCTAGCCAGCTTGAAATTAATTGAGTACCCATATAGCTTATGATTACACAGACTAGAAAGTCCACACATAAACCATGTCACTGCCATTTCCTTCTCGTTTTTCTTAGAGTTTGCAACTGAGTAGCTGGGGACTTGAGTTTTTTATTTCTTAATTGGGACTGAAAGCTCTATATGGTTGCAAAATGGAAGCTTCTGAAAGTCAGAAACTTTGACTTGTTCATTTTTATATTGCCAGTGCCTGACATTTGTAAATATTACAATTTATAATTATTTGTCAAACTGTCACTGTGTACAGGTTGGTCAGCTGTGCACTTACTGAATGATCCCATGTCTTCAGGCCATTACCACCTCATTACTTTTTTTTCTTTTTGGGTTTTTTTTGTTTGTTTGTTTTTGTTCTTGTTTTTGTTTTGATAAAGAGTCTTACTTTGTCACCCTTAGTAGAATGCTGTGGCATCACAGTTCACAGCAACCTCCAGCTCTTGGGCTTACGCAATTCTCTTGCCTCAGCCTCCTGAGTAGCTGGGACTACAGGCACCTGCCACAATTTCTGGCTATTTTTTGTTGCAGTTTGGCCGGGCCAGGTTCAAACCCGCCACCCTCAGTATATGGGGCTACGGTTCTACTCACTGAGTCACAGGCACCACCCACCACCTCATTTCTTTCTGTTAATTCACAACCATTGTTGCTATAAAATAACAGTGGTTTCTAGTCGCATTTTGGTAATGTAGCATCCTAAACTAGAAATCAGGTGCCTTAAATATTGCTCTGACATTAATAAGTTTGGTAATTATTATTCCCAAGAAAACTAATTTCTGAGCTTCACCTCATTCATCTATAAAATGAAAACATAAGATCTTCAAGATTTATGTCAGCTTTAAAATTTATAAACTGAGAATTTTCCTTTTGAAATAAAGTGGGAAGGTTGACAGGATACAGGAGTTCATAATTGATCCTAAATTGCATTTAATTTTTTGCACTTACCTAAGTGTCAGCATTCATAAAGTTCAAGTCCCTTTACCTTAAAGATTAACTATCTTTACTTTTAATATCTTGAATGTTTTTGAGAATATTGTTTAAAGCAATTACTTACCTTTCAGTTTTTTGCGACTGTGAAAGAAAAAGAAAAAAAATTCTAAGAATACTGTAAATGTAATTTTTTTTTCCTTAAGTGGGCCACTTCTTCCTATTTTGTACAGAGAAGTCTTTCCAGGTTCCTCCTGTCAGAACCAAGTTAGGCCCTGGAGTAAGATGAAGCCAGAGACCAAGACCAGGATTGCAGAGTGTGGTATGATCAACCATACTTACAGTGACAAGCCTGCCCAGTCCATAAAACGTTACGTAGTTTTTGTGTTTTTGGTTAGTCATTCCTGATGCTTTCTGTATATATGTGCGTATGTGTTTGCATTACATATTAAATTATGTAATTAATGATTTTGCTTTTTGATTGATTATAAATCTAGCAACTTGACAAATTCTAATTCTTTATTTTCTTGGATTTTCTATATAAATGGTAATGATAATTATAAGTAATCTATTTCAATACTTTTTTTGTTTTCATTCAATAATTGTTCCTCATTTTCTTATCTTATAGCTTTGTCAGAGCTTCCAATATTATATTGGAAAATAGTAGTGAGATAGATTATAAAATAGCATTCTTGTTCTTGATAGTTAAGGCAATAGTTCTACAGTTTCTCCACTAATTATGGTATTTGTAGTGGTATGGTGGGGGTGATACTGGCCTTTAACAGATGAAAGAAATTAATTTTCCTTTGTGGTTTGCCACAGGAATTCTTCTTATTAAAACATGTTGAATTTCATCATGTTTTTTATGCTTCTGTTAAATTGATTGTTTTTTCCTTCCTTTCACTCTCTGAGCTTTTAAGCTATACATTTTTTTTAAATTTCAAATTAATATGACAGTACAAGTTTTAATTTTACATTGTTCTCACTTCTAAGGTAAAGTTCTAAGCCATACAGTTTAATTTCTGTATAGTCAAATTTGTCTATCCTTTCTTCTATAATTTCTATATCTATTGTGCTTTTAAAAGTGTCCCTGAAGTCTGGGTTATAAAAATGTTTTTCTGTTTTTTTAAAAAAATACTTAATTTTAGGCTTGGTGCCTGTAGGTCAGTGGTTAGGGTGCCAGCCACATGCACCAAGGCCGGCCCTGGCCTGCTAAACAACCATGACAACTGCAACAACAACAACAAATAGTGGGATGTTGTTGTGGGCGCCTGTAGTCCCAACTACTTGGGAGGCTGAAGCAAGAAAATCGCTTAAGCCCAGGACTTTGAGGTTGCTGTGAACTATAATCCCATGGTACTCTACCGAGGGGCAACATACCAAAACTCTAAAAAAAAAAAAAGAAAAAAAGTTAATTTTAAGTCTTAAGCATGTATTTTGGTGTGTGGTATGACTTGGAAGATAATTTTTTTGTCGTCTTTCAAATTGATGGCTGATACACTATTTTTTTTTTAGAGACAGTTTTACTTTATCACCCTCGGTAGAGTGCTGCGGCATTACAACTCACAGCAACCTCCAGCTCTTGGGCTTAGGCCATTCTCTTGCCTCAGCCACCCAAGTAGGTGGGCCTATAGGTACCCGCCACAA